CATTTTAGGGAATTTGTTTGATGTTTAGTCGATAATGGCAGCTGCATAGGGACCCATGTACTATTCCAACGGTTCAATTTATTCTTAAAATTCAATATGAATCGTGCCCAGACAACGGCCTAATTGGTTGATGGCACAAATGCTTCAATATATTGGTTCCTTGATACAATAAATGGTCGTGATTATAGCATAATAGCAAGACACTAGCCATTGTTGATTTGTGTGGGGGCACGTGGCAGTGCACGAAGTGACAAGGCATTTTATTGGGCAATGATATTGTGCGCAGTGACAATCCTTCCCTCAATCCTATCTAATATACATAGCAAATCAAAGATTACGATTCTTGCACGAGATTGTTTTGGATGATAAAACTATATGAAAAATGAACAAGTATCATGTAATATCAAAAAATTAGTTAAAATTTAAGAAACTATTAGAAAGGAGCGCACGAAAATTACGTGAACGACACTATAAAACTGAAAGATTTGGGAAGTCACTGCCAATGAAATAAATTTAGCCTATGTTTGGTATCCATTCTTCTACTAATTTTCAACCACACATTCATCAATAAAATAATATTTTTCATCACATCAATAAGAGCCCTGAGTCAGGGATCAATAGCGCATATTTCTCTTTATATTATGAGGAATTGCACAACCATGAATATAATATACCCATGGAAAAATTGCAGTAGTTTGTACCAACGAACGTCTCTAACCTTTCAATAATATGCAACTGGAGTCCAAACGGATGGAAACCATTCATTTAACCGTTAGTTGGACAAAAAATTGATTTTAACCAAATTTGATATTGGTAAAATGGTAACTTAATTAATTCTATATTATAAAAAACCAAACAAAATCAGAAAAATAAAAAGTAAAAAACCAAAAACACCCCACGCCACCCCACCCTCCCCTCAAATAAAAAATGCCCCTCTTTTTCTTCTTCTTCTTCTTCTTTTGACAAGCCTTACCAGAAACAGCCATCTTCAATCCACACTGCCACCCCAGCCACCACAACTCCCTTCATCAACACCCACTACCAATGTCGACACCCTCCACTGCCACCTTCTAGCCCACTGCACATTTGTCACTGTACATTTGAAAATAAACCAAGAAAACTCACCCCATACTCGAAAATCAACCCAAGAAAACTCACCCACCGTCGAGCGGCTGCCACCACCGCTACCTACACGATGCCACACCTAAATCGATACCACCACCACCATCTCAAACCGCCATAGCCTCTGCAATTTCGAAACCCCTCAAAAACTAGCAAAAGTCCACCGTTCCATTGCCGATTTCAAAATCAACAAACTCCAAAATCTACACCAAAGATCTAATAATTGAATCTCGGTCAATCGCCACCATCACTAGTGATTGTCAAATCACCACAATCTCAATCAAATCTCATAAAATTGAAAAATCAAAATCAAAATCAAAACTATTACAAATGTTCAAAAGATTTATGAAAGAAAAATCTGATTTGGGTGGTGGCACCAGCCTTTGTGCGACGGTGCCAACATTGTGATGTGGCTACAGTGATGGGTCTTTTGATGACAGTTACGATCACCAGGGTGGGTGGGAGTGAGGAAGAAGAGGAACGTGGATCCATCGGCTTTTGGGTTTTCCATGAGTGTGGGTAATTTTCTTTTTTTCAATTATTTTATGTTAAACTTGTGGAGTTACCATTTTTCCCTTATCAAATTTGGTCAAAACCAATTATTTTGGTCAATTAACGGTTAAATTTCCATTTGGACTCCAACTATATATTTCTGAAAGGTTAGGAACATTTTTGATACAAATTGAAAGTTAGAGTAAAATTTGAAAAAATTAAAAAATGTTAGGGACTACAACTACAATTTTCCCTATATTAATTTTGATTCGCAAGCGGAAGAGTATCTCCAAAAAAAATTAAAAATGCATTGACAGACACATGATACATCTTCGTTATGTGCATGATTATAACAATGCGCCATATGCATATGCTCACAATAATCGATTATATAATCGCTTTTTCTGATAATTACAATTAACTTATCTGCATATTGGTTGGCTGACATGCTTCAATACTTTACTGTTGCACCAGGGAAACGTAGTCAATTCTTATTAGCCTAAAATTGGCTTATTTTACGTAATAGATTCTTATGGAGCAAAAAATGGCTTATTTATTATAGAGGAAATTATACACAAATAGGGGTGGGCATGGATTGGATTGGATTGGATTGGGTTGGGTTGGGTTTTACCTCAATCCAAACCTAATTCAACATGATCGGTTTAATCATAATTTAACCCAATACAACTTGTGTAAAGGTTGAAACTCAATCTAACACAAACCCAAGTATCGATCGGGTTGGGTTAGATTGGTCAGTTTGGGATAACTTGTCAACAAAGACTAAAGTATGCGAATTAGGTTGAGCGGATTTATAATTGACTCATGACTTATATAATATTAGGTCTCCATAGTTGTAATGACAAAAATCTGAATTATTTTGGTACTTCATGTCTGGAAATGTTACGTTTGACATATTGATATTAAATTATATAAAGCCAAAGAATATTTTTGACAATTAAAATATTTTTGTGTTGAATGTGTAAATGCTTATACTACTTTTCGTAAAATGCAT